GAAGTCTACTATGTTCAGTTGTGATGTAAGTGAGTTGTCTTGTGGTGGTCGGATGATTGAGCTCACAACCGGGTCTGGTCTTAAGTACATGTTTGTATTGATGTTGCGTTAAATCTTCTTGTGTGTATGACCACGTAGCAGATGATGATGTTTTCTTTATATGTAGGAGAGCTCCGTTACAAAACATTCTAGAGAGCTCGGGAACATCTCCAATTGAAGAAAAAATTGTTTTAAAGATTTTGAGATACATCCGTCAACTGAAAAATATTTTCTTAAGAATCTACATGCAAAATGATGAGACCTACTTTTTACGGAAAAAAGCGGGCATGTAGCTCTCCATATTTTCATCACAGCTTCTTGAAGGAACACTTCCCAGGAGGCGGACGAATCTCGAAATCTTTAAAACAATGTTTTCTTCAATTGGAGATGTTCCCGAGCTCTCTAGAACGTTTCGTAACGGAACTATGCTCAAAACAAAATGAGCAAAAAAGGTAACGCTATGACATCTCTGCCAGCTGAGTTACGTGGACAAGCCGTCTAGCCTAAAGTTTGAACTAAGGCTTCCTCCACTCCCCGCATTACAGAAGACCACTGCAGACAATTGTTTCCAGAGATCCCCTCCAGATTTGTGACCAAAAACCGGTTTGAGTTGCTCGCCATAATAGAACAGCATGTTGTTCTTCTATTATGGAAGGGTATACAAGTTTGAACTTCTGCGATGGTCCATCTTCTAAGATCACTAATAACTCTGTAGCATCGATAGTTGTGATCTTTGTTTCTTATCTATGCACGCTGACACCATTATATTTTGTATCGTCACAAGTAATTTCAACACAATTCAATGAAAAATATGGTGTTACAAATATGCATAGATTAGAACAAGTGTAGAGAAAAACATGTTTAGTTTATCTTACACTAAAGAAGAGTTCTGTTTCTCGGTGGAAACATTATAACTTTTTCCAATTAGTAACATTCGTGAAAGCTAGGTAATGTCTCATTCTAAACACACTCAACTCTACAAAACTGCGCGTTTGAAAACATTTTGTTCATTCTGTCAACAAGAAAAAAGATTCAAAAAATAAGCTTTAGTGTTTTCTCTGTGCTGGTTAGAAAGCTTCAAATTTTCACAACAATATGATAGAAAGCTCAGCTATACTTATTAACATAACCCTTATATTTTTATTGTTTTCGTTTGGGAAATTTAGAAAAAACATTACACCGTTTGTTTCGAGCAACCAGAACTCGAAAAGTTTGTCGCGCAGTCCATTATTCTTCACAGGAACCCTTTTACTCGAAATGCAGTTTTTGTTAAGCAGTAGGACAAAGTTACCTTTGAGTGTCTTGTCACGTACTATACTTTCGTCATGTCTTGTAGGTGATGGCAGTTATAACAGAATCAGATGTCTTAGTCCAAAAGGTGGCTGAAGATCAAAAACAGCGAGAGAAAATTGAAGATGGAACAGCATTATTGTCACTTACTCTATTACAAAACTCAACAGCTTCAATTAATGCTGATTTTATGTGATTGCAATTGTTAATTGAAGTTTTATTACGAATGAAAGAAACACAAGATGATCTAGAAGAATTAATTGATCTATGTAAACAAACACATATTGGAAATACGATAGAGCTTGAAATAATCAAAAAAATTGAAAGAGAATATTCTGCTGATAAAGCCATCTATTTTTATACTGGTGACAATTGTTTATTTAAAATGTTAAATAAAGCATTACGTACAAAAGATATTGAAACAATTGTTTCATTTCGACGTTTTATCAGAGACCTATATAAACAACTAAAAAAACTGCATCGACATCAACAACAGACAATAACAAAAGTTTTTCGTGGTCAAATGATGTCACGTGAAGAACTCACTAAACTATGTAACTCTGTTGAAGGATATGTTTCAATGAATTCATTTTTATCAACGTCACTTGATAAACAAGTAGCATTAGAATTTTTAAAACTGGTTAAGTACAATGATCAATTGCAACCAGTTTTAATTGAAATTACAACTGATTTATATTGAAAAGATACAAAACCATAGGGTGATATAAACGAATATAGTTATTTCAAACGAGAAAAAGAAGTATTATTCTTTACAGGTTCAATATTTTATATTCAACAAGTCAGGCAGAATGAGCAATATTGGACTATTCAGCTACAATTATGTGGCGAACAAAACAATGAACTAAAAGATATTTTTTATCATTTGAAAAAACAAATTGCGAAAGAAACAGATCTCATTTTACTTGGTAGAATATTGATGGATATGGGTGAACGTGAAAAAGCTGAAGAATATTTAATAAATTTATTGTCAAAATTACCGAAAAATGATCATAGAACAATTAGTCGTTGTCTAGCAATACTTGGTCACATTACAAACGGTAAAGGTGATGACTATCAAGCCATTCATTATCATCAACAATCAATTAAAATCGCTGAAAAATTTCCAGACAATGAATTACTTTTAGCAGAAAACTATTGTGGTCTTGCAAATGGATATGATGACAAAGGAAATCATACTCAGGCGCTAATATATTATCAGAAAACATTGAAAATATACAAAAAATTTTATGATGACAATCATATTAATCTTGCTCTAATATATTTTAATATTGGTAAAGTATATAATAACGAAAATAATAGTATTGAAGCATTATCCTATTATATGAAAGCAATAAAAATCCAGGAAAGTAAATCTATTAATCTCGAATTAGCCAAAACATACGAAGCAGTTGGTGATATCTTTTATAACAAACATGATTATGTAAGATCTTTATCCTATCATGAAAAGGCGTTGAAAATCAATGTTAAAACACATCCAAGTACAGATGTTGCTCTTGGAATAAGTTATGCTAATGTTGCTAGTATGAATAATGCAACAGGTGATTATCCATCAGCTTTAACAAATTATCTCAAAGCACAAGAAATTTTTCTTCATTCTCTTTCACCATCTGATCCAGTAGTTAATCGAATTGAAAATGATATTAAAAAAGTTAAACAGAAACTAAAATAGTCGATACATGAATGTACTGGAAAGACACATTATGTGACCGTAATTAAACTACATATGATTTAAATGAGTATTTTATCCTATTGAGACTTGAAAAATTGAACTTTTGGGTATCCGACGGTTGGTACTGACGGTGCTGAAAATGGCAATAAACGTTGAAACTGGACAAACCAAAGCGAATTAATGAGTACTAGTTAAATTGAGATTATGAGTATTTTTTACCATCATAAATCAGACACGATTGTATTTTCTAAGCAATCATCGATTCAATGATTTATGTTTCCACCTGTTTTGACATATCATCATTTATTTCCGAACTGAAATAGATTCTTTCTAAAAGTAAACTATAAATTACTCTAACCTTCTAAAGACATATGTTTAAAAATATACGCTTGAAAATGAAATATTCCAAATATCGTGGCTATTTTAATGATATGAGCTTCGCTTTTTTTCATTCAATTCAAAAAGTGTCGTGAATAATAAAAGCTAGTACAATGCTTAATTCATTTCTTATTAGTTGAAATTACTAATTATATTTATCATTCGAACAACTTTTATACTTAGAGTACTGTTAAAATTAGTTTATCGAGTCACATAGATAATTATCTTGTAAGATTACCCGAAGGGGTTCGGTATCCGAGAAATAACTGTTTAGATCAAATTTTTCCCCGGAACTTGTGTACTTTCTGCTCGCCAAAAGTGTAACATAGGCGTTTTCACTAAAGAAACTTTTACAGAAACTAAACTTGCATAACAATTATGGAAGAGTAGAATTTGTCTCATCTAAACAGGGTTGCAAAATTAGGTCGCACCAACGGAGGACTACCGATTTTTAAATTTTCACAGCCTATACGATATGCGCGATCGAGTCCTAGGTCACATGTCTAAAATCAGTTGGAGTCGAGGAATCCAAAAAGCACATTGGTGAGATCGGAAAGTAGAATTATGACAAGATAATAGCGATTTTCTCAAAAGTCAGTTTAAGGTGTTTTTGAGAGTTCGCAGTATTTTGCGTTTTCCCCAGGAAAACTTACTCAAATCGGAAAAATAAGATCAGATTCCTGGTCATCAGATAAGACTGCATCCAATGATGCATCTTTAAGCCCAAAATAAAAAACTACTGAGACTTTGAATTACTGGTTCAGTTATGTGAAAAATGAAACGTGACGTTTTTACTTTTCTCTCAAGAGCGGACACATGCTGCGTTGATAAATAAAACACCTCAAACTCTGATGCTAACGAACGGAAAAAGAAGGACTTTTATGTTTTTCGTGTACACTTCTTTTTTGTTCTTTTTGTTTTTTGTTATTGTTGAAAGTGTCATAACTTACGTGTTGTCATGATGCAAGAAGAAAGATTGTGTATGGAGAAAAGAAACAATGAAATTGTTAATTGTTTTTATGTAGGAGTTTGACTAATAAAAATATCATATGCGTCAAATAATATCTTACGCGGGAGGGTCAGTCTGTTTTGGATGAAAAACATGAAACAGTTTTACTACAGTTAATCGACGGCGCTGATATCAGTATTCAGGAAAAATCTATTATTCGAAGACCAGGCGGTCGGGGCTCCTAAAAAACTTGCTTAAATCATGTGAGAGAAACGTAACTTTCTGGTACAATCGATAAAAAAAATGAAAGTGTTCATTAAAAACATTTGAATGGTACGTTTTGTTCCCATGTCTTTGTCGAGCATCCTATAAAAATTTCTCAACTGCCAGACTCATACTGGCTGAGTTAGGAGGGAGACAATT